TGGGGGGGGGGGTGCCCGGTGCAGGCTCCCGTTGAACCCGAGCCATCCCGCCCCGCTCCGGGGCCGTTCCCAACGCAGGAGCCCGGGACTCGGGGCTGGTCCCGGAGCGGTGGTGCCGGTTGCAACACCCCCCCCCCATGGCGCTGGAAGGGACGCGGTGATGGCGCCGCTCCCCCAGAGCCGGGTCCGGGCTGCGCGGGCAGGGTCGGAGCCACCGGATGGGGGAGAACGGGAGGGGGGGACGGAGCCGAAGGCGGGACCGGGGGTGGGAAGCAGCGGGACCCCCCCGGGGACAGCAGCGCGGGACCCGGAGCGGGGCTCTCCTACCGGATTACGGAGGCCGGGCCGGGCCCCGGCAGCGCCGTCGTGAGGACGAGGCCGCGGCGAGCCCCGATGAAGCGGGACCGGGCAGCGGGGGGGTTGCGCCCATCCGGTGCGGCGGGACCCGGGGTGGGGGGATCCTCCTCGGCCCCTCCCGCGAGCACCGGGCCCGGCCACCCGCGCTAGGCCTCACCGGGGGCGGGCACCGGCGCTACGCGAGGCCTAGCACCGGAACCGCGGCCCCCCCTCACCCCTCCCGCCCCGTGCCCGTGGGCCCCTCCCCTCCCCTCAGCCCCGCCCCCTCCGGTGCCCCCCCTCCCTCCCGTACCGGCGCCGCCGCCGCCCGGTTCAAACAGCAGTGCCCACCCCTGCCACCTCCTCATTGGCTGGGGGACGTGTCACGTGGTTCACGGCGAGACTACAGCTCCCAGCGCGCTGTTCAGCTCTCGCGAGAGCTGGTTGCCATGGCAACAATGGCGGCGGCCAGGAAGGAGGCCTGGAGATGGGGGGATCCTGGTGGGACGTGAGGGGGGCACGGGGGCCCCGTGAGGCAAAGGGAGCGCGGGAGGGGGCGCTCGGGCCTCCCATGGGGGTCCCAGCCCCACTGGGGGTGTGGGGACACTCGAAGGGTACTGGAGGCTATGAGGGGGGGGATGTATATGGCTGTCAGGGGCACCCAGGGACCCACACTGGGGCTGGGGACACGTGTGGGGCCCTGGGGGGGTGTGTATGGGGCCATGCGCCAGCCAGGGGACGCCCAAAGAGGGGTTGGGGACCCCTGTGGGGCTCTGGGGATGGGGCCACTTCCCAAGCAGGGGACACCCAGAGACCCACAGTGGGGCTGGGGACCCGGGGGCAGGGGAGTCACACACAGACACCCTGGGGGCAGAAGGGCCTCGCTGTGCCCCACAGCAGATCCTGCCCCATGGCAGAGGATGCCACCACCCCCAGACCTGGGGCAGAGGATGCCACCCCCCAGACAAGGGGGCCACATGGGGGGGTTTTGGGGCTCGTCCCTGTCCCCCCCGCCCCATGGACCCCCACTGATGCAGGAAGCAGCAGGCGCAGAGCAGGAGGTGGCCGTGCCTGTGCTCGGGTTTATCGGCTGTGCCCAGGAACAGGTAAAAAAACCCAATCCATGTAAAAAACGGGGGGTGGGGGCAAAGGGGGGGTCAGTGCCCACCCCCCCACTGACACAGCATTCCGGCAGCATTCCCTTTGTGGTGATCCCTGCGCCAGGCCAAGCACCCCCCACCCCGGGACCCCCGCTCTGGGGCCGGATCCCAGCGTGGGGAGAGAGGAGGAGAAGACAACGAAAAGGGGGAAATCCAACCCAAAGCGCCCGAAGCCCAGCCCCGCGCGGCCGCGGCGCTCAGGGGATGCCGAACTGCACGACCAGCTCCTCCTTGGCGTCCACCCGGATCTGGGAGAGCGCGCTGAAGGCGTAGGCAGCTATCCGGGACACCTGCGGGACAGAGCCGTTACCCCGTGGGCAGCTCCTCTGGCTTCAAAAAGGGGCCAAAAGGGTAAAAATGGGCTTTAAAGTCCCCACATCCCAAACCGGGCTGGGATTGTGTGGCTGCCGCCCCTCGGATCCCGTGCTCAGCTCTGGGCCCCTCACTCCAAGAGAGACCTTGAGGTGCTGGAGCGGGGCCAGGGAAGGGCAATGGAGCTGGTGCAGGGCCTGGAGCCCAAGTGTGATGGGGAAGGGCTGAGGGACCTGGGGGGTTCAGTGTGGAGAAGAGAAGGCTCAGGGGGGACCTGATGGCTGCCTACAAGTGCCTGAGAGGAGGATGGAGCCAGGAGGGGCTGGGCTCTGCTCCCAAGGAACAAGGGATGGGACAAGAGGAACCGGCCTCAAGCTGCACCAGGGCAGGTTTAGATGGAGCTGAGGAACAATTCCTGCCCCAGAGGGTGCTCAGGCATTGGAACAGGCTGCCCAGGGCAGGGCTGCAGGCACCGGCCCTGCAAGGGTTCACACCCCATGGAGACGAGGCCTCAGTGCCATGGGGCAGCGGTGGCCGGGGGGCAATGGTTGCACTGGATGGACCTGGAGCCCTTCCCCAGGCCCCACTGATCCCATGGCTCTGGGTGCTCAGGGGTGGCCCTCACCTGCTGCAGGTCTGCGAAGGGGACGGGGTCGCTGGCCAGGACCTGGTGGGGTTGGTTGGTGAGGGACGGCAGCGCCGGCGCCTTCTTCCAGTGTGTGAGGCTGGAGCTGAGCATGGCCAGGCGGGTGCTGGGGGCACCGCGGTCAGCACCACCGGCACCCAGGGGCACTGCACAGCACCCCGGGGGGCATGGGGACACCCCAAGGTGCACTGAGAGCACCCCAGAGGGGATGGGGGTACGCCAGGGGGATGGGGAGTGCCCCAGGGGGATGGGGATGCCCCACGGGGATGGAGACACCCCAAGGTGATGGGGAGCACCCCAGGGTTATGGGGGTTTCCCAGGGGGACGGGGAGCACCCCAAGGTAGATGGGGATGCCCTAGGGCTATAGGGAGCACCCCAGGGGATGGGGGCACCCCAGGGGGATGGGGATGCCCCAAGGTGATGGGGAACACCCCAGGGTTAAGGGGGCATCCCAGGGGGATGGGGAGCACCCCAGGGGGATGGGGAGCACCCCAGGGTTAAGGGGGCACCCCAGGGGGATGGGGATACCCCACGGGGATAGGGAGCACCCCAGGGTGATGGGGAACACCCCAGGGTTAAGGGGGCATCCCAGGGGGATGGGGAGCACCCCAGGGGGATGGGGAGCACCCCAGGGTTAAGGGGGCACCCCAGGGGGATGGGGATACCCCACGGGGATAGGGAGCACCCCAGGGTTATGGGGGTACCCCAGGGGCACGGGGAGCACCCCAGCCCCACCTGTACTGCCGTGCCCGGTCCATGTACTCGTGCTGCTCCATGCCCTGCGAGTCCGCAGCCGAGACGTCGATGATGTTGCTGGGGAGCAGCACGGAGCAGGTCCCATCATGGGCTCCAGGCTCCCCCCCCCACGCTAGCACCCCAAAATCGACATCTTGGGGATGGTTTGAGCTCCATGGGTGACTCAGAGCCCCCTGTATGGGCTGGGGATGAGCCCCATGCATATGGGGACACACACAGCCCCCCACTGAGCACCATGAGCAACCCTAAGTCCCTCCTATATGGGCTGGGGACAGCCCCCATGCCTATTGGGGTGATTCCCCCTCCCTAAAGAGGACACAGAGCCCCCAAACCTCCCTCTGCACCCTCAAACACCCATTCCATCCCCCCAATCACAGCGAGAGGCCCCCAGCCCAGCACCCCCAGCATCACCCTGCACCCAGGGGCTCCCTTTGGTGTCCCTGTGGGGCACAAACCAGAGGGAAGGGACATTGAGGGGGGGAACAGAAGCAGCTCCCCCCTTCCCTTTGGCACCTCTGGGACCCACAGTGGGGGTGGCCCAGGGCCACGGCACCGGGTGGTGATGGCACGGGGGGGCTGTGGCGATGGCAGGGGCTCACATGGCGGTCTTGGCGAGGATGGAGGAGAGCATGGCCTGCTCATCCGTGCGTGCCGAGGGCAGGTTGTGGTAGCTCTGCTCGGCCCCGTTCAGCACCTTGTTGGGGGGACTGGGGTCCGGCTCCAGCAGCCGCTTCGTCTCCTCCTCCTGTGGGAATGGGGAGGGGTGGTCATGGATCATGGAAAGGGCTCGGGGTGAAGGAAGCTTGGGGTCCTCCACCCCAACCCCTGCCCCGGGGCAGGGACCCCTTCCATAGAGCAGCTTGCTCCAAGCCCCTGTGTCCAACCTGCCCTTGAGCACTGCCAGGGATGGGGCAGCCACAGCTTCTCTGGGCACCCTGTGCCAGCGCCTCCGCACCCTCCCAGGGAAGAGCTTCTGCCTAAGAGCTCAGCTCAGTCTCCCTCGGGCAGGTTAAAGCCATTCCCCTTGGCCTGTCCCTACATCCCTTGTCCCAGGCCCCTCTCCAGCTTTCCTGCAGCCCCTTCAGGCACTGGAGCTGCTCTCAGGTCTCCCCAGAGCACAGCAGAGGGTCAGGATCCCCTCCCTGAGCTGCTGCTCACGCTCTGGGTGCACGCAGCACACGGGGGGGTTCTGGGCTCAAGCGCACCCTGAGGCTGGGTCATGGGGGGCTCCTCCTCACCCGGTTCCTGCACCCGCAGCCCCGCAGGGTGACACCGCCCCCTATAGCCCCCCCATGTCCCCCCGTGCCCCCCGGCCCCACCTGCTCCGAGGCCTCTCCCTCACTGCTGTAGCAGCAGCCCATGGCGACCGCCGGCACCACCACCGGCTCCGGCAGGGGGCGCGCCGCGCCGCTCACGTGACAGCGCCTGGCCCCCGTGACACAACATTGGGTCACGTGGGGGCACGGACAGCCAATAGGAGCGCAGGAATCGTCGTCTTCCTGCTTCCGGCCCCACCCCGCGTACGGGCCGGTGCCGGTCACGTGACCGGCTGCCAATCAGCGCGCAGAGGGGGGGCAAAACAAGGCGCCGGGGGCGGGGCGCTCCGCCGGGGGGCGCGGTCACGTGATGAGCGGCCAATCAGCGCGCGGGGAGGTGGAGTGAGGGAGGAGCAAGGCGCAGGCCCCGCCCCGGTACGGCCGCCGTCACGTGACCGGTTCCTCGGGCGCGCGCGGGGCGGTGCCACGTGACGTTAGGGGGTGGGGGGGAAGGGAGGGGGAGAAAGGTTGCGCTCCCGCGTGGGCGGTGTCACGTGGCACGGAGCGCGCGTGCGCGATCACGAGGCTCTGCTTCCCCCACTGCCGTCATTGGCCCCCATTCACCCCCACTGACCCCTATTGCCCCCATCAACCCCAATGACCCCATTGGCCCCCATTAACCCCAATGACCCCATTGGCCCCCACTGATCCCCATTGACACTATTGGCCCCCATTGCCCCCATTGCCCCCAATGACCCATTGACCCCAATGACTCCATTGGCCCGCATTGGCCCCATTGACCACAATGACCCCATTGACCCCAACGACCCCAATGACCCCATTGGCTCCCATTGACCCCATTGGCCTGCATTGACCCCCATTGCCCCCCTTGACCACAGTGTACCCATTGTCACCATTGAGCCCCATTGCCCCCATTGAGCCCCATTGCCCCCATTGACCCCATTGCCCCCATTGACCACAATGACCCCATTGGCCCGCATTGACCCCTGTTGCCCCCCTTGACCACAGTGCACCCATTGCCCCCATTGAGCCCCATTGCCCCCACTGCCCCCATTGACCACAATGACCCCATTGGCCTGCATTGACCCCGTTGCCCCCCTTGACCACAGTGCACCCATTGCCCCCATTGAGCCCCATTGACCCCATTGCCCCATTGACCACAATGACCCCATTGGCCTGCATTGACCCCCATTGCCCCCCTTGACCACAGTGCACCCATTGAGCCCCATTGCCCCCAATGACCCCATTGCCCCCACTGACCACAATGACCCCATTGGCCCGCATTGACCCCGTTGCCCCCCTTGACCACAGTGCACCCACTGCCCCCATTGAGCCCCATTGACCACAATGACCCCATTGGCCCGCATTGACCCCCATTGAGCCCCATTGCCCCCATTGACCACAATGACCCCATTGGCCTGCATTGACCCCGTTGCCCCCCTTGACCACAGTGCACCCATTGCCCACATTGAGCCCCATTGCCCCCCATTGACCCCACTGACATAAGGAAAGCAAGTGCCTGGAAGCCATAGGGTTAAGACGCTTCACCCTTCCCTTAGGTGCCAGCTGCAGCCCAAGCTCTGTGCTGTGGGGCTGGGGTGCGACACCCGCCCTCAGCAGCCTTCCCCACAAGAGGGAACCCGCTCCTTCCACCCTCCCCATCCCGGGCCGGTTTGGGGGCAGAGCCCCCCGCACACCCTCCAGCCCGGCGGGGTTTGGGGGCTGAGCCCTACCCGCGCCCACCGGAGGGGAGGCGGCTGATGGTAACGAGCGCCTGAGGCAATTGGAATAGCCCCGCCCCTCTCTGGGAACCCTCATGAATATTCATGTCTGTGTAACCAACACCGGTGCTGGGGCCCTGGGGGTGAGAGGCGGGAGGAGCGATCCCGCTCGCACCCAATGAACAGCCCCTGCTTTGTGATGCCCCCTGAGCTGGGGGGCTGACCCCGGGCTGCGGGGGGGTCCCTGAACCCTCCTGAGCCCCCCAAAACCTGCACCCCCAAACCTGCACCTCCAAACCTGCACCTCCAAAGCTGCACCCCCAAACCTGCACCTCCAAACCTGCACCTCCAAAGCTGCACCCCCAAACCTGCACCTCCAAAACCTGCACCTCCAAAGCTGCACCCCCAAACCTGCACCTCCAAACCTGCACCCCAAAACCTGCACCTCCAAAACCTGCACCTCCAAAGCTGCACCCCCAAACCTGCACCTCCAAAACCTGCACCTCCAAAGCTGCACCCCCAAACCTGCACCTCCAAACCTGCACCTCCAAACCTGCACCCCAAAACCTGCACCTCCAAAACCTGCACCTCCAAAGCTGCACCCCCAAACCTGCACCTCCAAAACCTGCACCTCCAAAGCTGCACCCCCAAACCTGCACCTCCAAAACCTGCACCTCCAAAGCTGCACCCCCAAACCTGCACCTCCAAACCTGCACCTCCAAACCTGCACCCCAAAACCTGCACCTCCAAAACCTGCACCTCCAAAACTGCACCCCCAAACCTGCACCTCCAAAACCTGCACCTCCAAAGCTGCACCCCCAAACCTGCACCTCCAAACCTGCACCTCCAAACCTGCACCCCAAAACCTGCACCTCCAAAACCTGCACCTCCAAAACTGCACCCCAAAACCTGCACCCCCAAACCTGCACCTCCAAAACTGCACCTCCAAAACCTGCACCTCCAAAGCTGCACCCGCAAACCTGCACCCCAAAACCTGCACCTCCAAAACTGCACCCCAAAACCTGCTCCTGCCACCCTGCACCCCAAAACCTGCACCCCAAAACCTGCACCTCCAAAGCTGCACCCCAAAACTTGCACCTCCAAAGCCGCACCCCCAAACCTGCACCCCCAAAAATGCATCCCCAAACCCGCACCCCCCAAACCCGCACCCCCCGGTCCCAGCCCCCCCCAGCCTGGCCCCACTCCGCGGTAACCGGAGCTGGAGCCGCGGCTCCATCAATTATTGAGAGCGGCGGCAGCGCCGGAGCCCAGCACAGAGAGATCCCGGTCCCCATCCTCCATCCTGGTCCCCATCCTGGTCCTGATCCTGGTCCTCATCCTGGTCCTGATCCTGACCCGGTCCTGGTCCTGATCCTGGTCCTGATCCTGACCCGGTCCTGGTCCTGATCCTGGTCCTGATCCTGGTCCTGATCCTGGTCCTGATCCTGATCCTGACCCGGTCCTGGTCCTGATCCTGGTACTGATCCTGATCCCCATTCTGGTCCTGATCCTGACCCGGTCCTGATCCTGGTCCTGATCCTGATTCTGGTCCTAGTCCTGATCCTGGTCCCCATCCTCCATCCTGGTCCCCATCCTGATCCTGGTCCTGATCCTGATTCTGATCCTGACCCAGTCCTGATCCTGATCCCGGTCCTGATCCTGATCCTGGTCCCCATCCTGATTCTGGTCCTAGTCCTGATCCTGGTCCCCATCGTGATCCTGATCCCAGCTCTTCATCCTGATCTCGCTCTCAACAGCACCAACTGCTCTCGATCCTTCTCCTGATCCCAGCCTTCCTTGAGATCCTGATCCCTGATCCCAGCTCCTGATCCTGATCCCGACAGCACCGAGTGCTCCTGATCCTGCTCCTGATCCCGACAGCACCGAGTGCTCCTGATCCTGATCCCGACAGCACCGAGTGCTCCCAGTCCTGCTCTTGATCCCAGCCTTCGGAGACATCCTGATCCCAACAGCCCAGAGAGATCCCGATCCTGATCCTGCTCCTGATCCCGACAGCACCGAGTGCTCCTGATCCTGCTCCTGATCCCGACAGCACCGAGTGCTCCCAATCCTGATCCCGACAGCACCGAGTGCTCCCGATCCTGATCCTGATCCCGACAGCACCGAGTGCTCCCGATCCTGATCCCGACAGCACCGAGTGCTCCCGATCCTGATCCTGATCCCAACAGCACCGAGTGCTCCCGATCCTGATCCTGATCCCGACAGCACCGAGTGCTCCCAGTCCTGATCTGACAGCACCGAGTGCTCCCGATCCTGATCCTGATCCCGACAGCACCGAGTGCTCCCAATCCTGATCCCGATCCCAGCCTTCGGAGACATCCTGCTCCTGCTCCTGCTCCTGCTCCTGCTCCTGCTCCTGCTCCTGCTCCTGCTCCCGATCCTGCTCCCAGTCCCTGCTCCCAGCATCCTGCCCATTCCCAGCCTCCTGCCCGCAGCCTGGGACCAGGTACGTGCCCCCCAGCCCCTTGCTGCACCCGGGGACCCCCAAGCCCCCGGGTGTGGGTGCAGGGGCAGGATCTGGGGGGTGGGGGGCAGGCTGGGGGGCACTGGTGTGGGGAGGAGGCTCTGCAGGGGTGCAGAGCACTGCAGCTCATGGCACAAATGATGCCTGTGGGGCTGTGTTTGCTATGGGGCTGTGTTTGCTATGGGGCTGTGTGTGTCTATGGGGCTGTGTTTGCTATGGGGCTGTGTGTGTCTATGGGGCTGTGTTTGCTATGGGGCTGTGTGTGTCTATGGGGCCGTGTTTGCTATGGGGCTGTGTTTGCTATGGGGCTGTGTGTGGCTATGGGGCTGTGTGTGTCTATGGGGCTGTGTTTGCTATGGGGCTGTGTGTGTCTATGGGGCTGTGTTTGCTCTGGGGCTGTGTTTGCTGTGGGGCTGTGTTTGCTATGGGGCTGTGTGTGTCTATGGGGCTGTGTGTGGCTATGGGGCTGTGTTTGCTCTGGGGCTGTGTTTGCTCTGGGGCTGTGTGTGTCTATGGGGCTGTGTTTACTATGGGGCCGTGTTTGCTATGGGGCTGTGTTTGCTCTGGGGCTGTGTTTGCTATGGGGCTGTGTGTGTCTATGGGTCTGTGTTTGCTATGGGGCTGTGTTTGCTATGGGGCTGTGTTTGCTCTGGGGCTGTGTGTGGCTATGGGGCTGTGTGTGGCTATGGGTCTGTGTTTGCTATGGGGCTGTGTTTGCTCTGGGGCTGTGTTTGCTCTGGGGCTGTGTGTGGCTATGGGGCTGTGTGTGGCTATGGGTCTGTGTTTGCTATGGGGCTGTGTTTGCTCTGGGGCTGTGTTTGCTCTGGGGCTGTGTGTGGCTATGGGGCTGTGTGTGGCTATGGGGCTGTGTTTGCTATGGGGCTGTGTTTGCTCTGGGGCTGTGTGTGTCTGTGGGTCCATCCGTGGCTCTCCCCCAGTGCAGCCCCATGGTGTCGGTGGCCATCGCGCTGGCGTTTGTGCCGCTGGTGCTGGCGCTGGCGCTGCGCTCCCGGCACTACGCGGTGCTGCTGGCGCGGGTGGCGCTGGGCTGGCTGCGGGACCGGCTCAGCTCCGCGCCGCGCGAGCACCGCGCCCTCCAGTACCTGCTGACGCACGCGGTGCCCGGCGACCCCCGCCACGTGCTGCTCACCCTCGACCAGTGGAGCCGCCGCTGCGAGCACCTCAGCTGCGTGGGGCCCGACAAAGGTCAGCACCGGCGGCAACGACGCGGGCACGGCACCACTGGCATGGCCATGGCATCATTGACATGGCCACAGCACCATTGACATTGCCACGGCATCATTGGCATGGCCACAGCACCATTGACATTGCCACGGCATCATTGGCATGGCCATGGCATCATTGACATGGCCACAGCACCACTGACATTGCCACGGCATCATTGGCATGGCCACAGCACCATTGACATGGCCATGGCACCAGTGGCATGGCCACAGCACCATTGACATGGCCTCGGCATCATTGGCATGGCCACAGCACCATTGACATTGCCACGGCACCAGTGGCATGGCCACAGCACCATTGACATGGCCTCGGCATCATTGGCATGGCCACAGCACCATTGACATTGCCACGGCATCATTGTCATGGTCACGGCACCATAGACATGGCCACGGCATCATCGTCATGGCCATAGCACCATTGACATGGCACAGCACCATTCACATGGTCACGGCGTCACTGACATGGCCATGGCATCATTAATATGGCCACAGCACCAGTGGCATGGCCATGGCACCATTGACATGGTTATGGCATCATTGTCATGGCCATAGCACCATTGACATGGCCATGGCATCATTGAAATGGTTATGGCATCATTGTCATGGCCATAGCACCATTGACATGGCCATGGCATCATTGACATGGCCATGGCATCATTGACATCATTATGGCATCATTTTTATGGCCACAGCACCATTGACATGGCCATGGCACCATTAATACGGCCATGGCACCATTAACACGGCCATGGCACAATTGACATGGCCATTGCACCACTAATATGGCCATGGCACCATTGACATGATCACGGCATCATTGACATGGACATGGCACCATTAATATGGCCATGGCACCATTAATATGGCCATAGCATCATTGACATGGCCACAGCACCATTGACATGGCCTTGGCACCATTAACACAGCCATAGCACCATTGACATGGCCATGGCACCATTAATACAGCCATAGCACCATTGACATGGCCATTGCACCACTAATATGGCCATGGCACCATTGACATGATCACGGCATCATTGACATGGCCACGGCACCATTAATATGGCCATAGCATCACTGACATGGCCATGGCACTCTTGACACGGCCATGGCACCATTGATGTGGCCATGGCACCATTAATATAGCCATGGAATCATTGACATGGTCACACCATGGCCCATGGCGCCGCTACAGCATCGTCGTTATGGCCATGGCGCTGTTAGTGTGGCTGAGACCCTGTTGACACGGCCACAGTACCACTGGCACGGCCATGGCACTGTTGGTATGGTCCTGGCACCATCAACATGGCCATGGCACCACTGCCATGGCTGTGACACCATTGGTGTGGCCACAGCATCACTGCCATGGTCGTGATGCTGTCGGCACAGCCGCGGCACTGCCGACATGGCCTTGGCACCATTGGCACGGCCATGGCACCGCCACCACAGCCCCACGCCAGGACCACAGCCCCACATCCCCCACACCGCACGGTGCCACCGGGAAGCCCTGTCCCTGCTGGTCACTGCCCCCATCACCTGCTCCCGCTGGCAATGGGATCGGCGTCACCATCCCCTGTCCCCACTGACGCCGGTGCCCTCGCCCTGTCCCCGTTGCCGCAGGGCGCGTGGTGGAGCGGGTGCTGAGCGCGCGGAGCCCGCGGCGGGTGCTGGAGCTGGGCACATCCTGCGGGTACGGGGCCGTGCTGCTGGCGCGGGTGCTGCCCCCCGGAGCGCGGCTGCTGACGGTGGAGAGGGACCCACAGCGAGCGGCCATGGCGGAGAAGGTCATCCGGCTGGCGGGGTTCGATGAGAGCACCGTGAGCAATGGGGTGGGGTGGCAATGGGGTGGCAATGGGGGGGGAATGGGATGGGAATGGGATGGGAATGGGCAGGAGGTCATCCGGCTGGCGGGGTTCGATGAGAGCACCGTGAGCAATGGAGTGGGGTGGCAATGGGGTGGCAATGGGGTGGGAATGGGATGGGAATGGGCAGGAGGTCATCCGGCTGGCGGGGTTCGATGAGTGCACCATGAGCAATGGGGTGGGGTGGCAATGGGGTGGGAATGGGGGGGGAATGGGATGGGAATGGGGTGGGAATGGGATGGGAATGGGAATGGGGTGGGAATGGGGTGGGAATGGGCAGGAGGTCATCCGGCTGGCGGGGTTCGATGAGAGCACCGTGAGCAATGCGGTGGGGTGGGAATGGGGTGGGAATGGGATGGGAATGGGGTGGGAATGGGATGGGAATGGGCAGGAGGTCATCCGGCTGGCGGGGTTCGATGAGAGCACCGTGAGCAATGGGGTAGGGTGGGAATGGGGTGGGAATGGGGGGGGAATGGGATGGGAATGGGGGGGGAATGGGGTGGGAATGGGGGGGGAATGGGATGGGAATGGGATGGGAATGGGCAGGAGGTCATCCGGCTGGCGGGGTTCGATGAGTGCACCATGAGCAATGGGGTGGTGTGGGAATGGGGGGGGAATGGGGTGGGAATGGGGGGGGAATGGGATGGATGGGAATGGGGGGGGAATGGGCAGGAGGTCATCCGGCTGGCGGGGTTTGATGAGAGCACCCTGAGCAATGGGGTGGGGGGGCAATGGGGTGGGAATAGGGGGAGAATGGGGATGGGAATGGGCAGGAGGTCATCCGGCTGGCGGGGTTCGATGAGAGCACCGTGAGCAATGGGGTGGGAATGGGATTGGAATAGAGACGGGAACGGGCAGGAGGTCATCCGGCTGGAGGGGTTCAATGAGAGCACTGCGAGCACCGGGATGGGGTGGGAAAAGGATGGGAATAGGCAGGAGGTCATCTGGCTGGTGGGGTTCGATGAGAGCACTGCGAGCACTGGGATGGGAATGGGGTGGGAATAGGGGTGGGTGGTGGACAGGGTGGGAATGGGGTAGGGAGGGAATGGGTATGGGAATGGGCAGGAGAAGGTCGTTCCACTGGTGGGGTTCAATGAAAGGACTGTGAGCACAGGGATGGGATGGGAATGGGGTGGCAATGGGATGGGAATAGGGGCGGGTAGTGGACAGGATGGGAATGGGGTAGGGAGGGAATGGATATGGGAATGGGCAGGAGAAGGTCGTTCCACTGGTGGGGTTCAATGAAAGGACTGTGAGCACAGGGATGGGATGGGAATGGGGTGGGGGGGGACAGGATGGGAATGGGAGTGGGGATGGGAATGGGCAGGAGAAGGTAGGGGACGGGCAGGGCACAGGGAGGGAACAGGTATGGAATGGGCAGGGGATGGGCAAGAAATGAGGAGGGAATGGACAGGGGATGGGATGGGAATGGGCAGGGAACAGGGAAGGGACAAGTAGGGAACGGGGAGGAAAGGGGCAGAGGATGGAGAGGGAATGGGCAAGCAATGGGGAGGGAATGGGCAAAAAAAAGGGAAGGGAATGGACAGGGGATGGGATGGGAATGGGCAGGGAACAGGGATGGGACAAGTTGGGAACGGGGAGGAAATGGGCAGGGAATGGACAGAGGATGGGGAGGGAATGGGCAGGGAATGGGGAGGGAATAGGCAAGAAATGGGGAGGGAATGGGATGGGAATGGGCAGGGAACAGGGAAGGGACAAGTAGGGAACGGGGAGGAAATGGGCAGGGAACGGGCAGAGGATGGAGAGGGAACGGGCAGGGGACAGGCAGGGAATGGGCAGGGAACGTGCACGGAGCGGGCAGGGGAAGGGCTGGAAGTGGCAGAGGCAGGAGCAGGAGCAGAGCAGGAGCAGGGGAAGGGGCAGGAGCAGGAGCAGAGCAGGAGCAGGAGCAGGAGCAGGAGCAGGAGCAGGAGCAGGAGCAGGAGCAGAGCAGGAGCAGGAGCAGGAGCAGGAGCAGAGCAGGAGCAGGAGCAGGAGCAAGAGCAGGAGCAGAGCAGGAGCAGAGCAGGAGCAGAGCAGGAGCAGGAGCAGAGCAGGAGCAGGAGCAGGAGCAGGAGCAGGAGCAGGAGCAGGAGCAGGAGCAGAGCAGGAGCAGAGCAGGAGCAGGAGCAGGAGCAGAGCAGGAGCAGGAGCAGGAGCAGGAGCAGGAGCAGAGCAGGAGCAGGAGCAGGGGCAGGGGCAGGAGCAGGAGCAGGAGCAGAAGCAGGAGCAGAGCAGGAGCAGGAGCAGAGCAGGAGCAGAGCAGGAGCAGGAGCAGAGCAGGAGCAGGAGCAGGAGCAGGAGCAGGAGCAGAGCAGGAGCAGGAGCAGGAGCAGAGCAGGAGCAGAGCAGGAGCAGGAGCAGGAGCAGAGCAGGAGCAGAGCAGGAGCAGGAGCAGGAGCAGGAGCAGGAGCAGAGCAGGAGCAGGAGCAGGAGCAGGAGCAGAGCAGGAGCAGGAGCAGAGCAGGAGCAGAGCAGGAGCAGGAGCAGGAGCAGGAGCAGAGCAGAAGCAGGAGCGGAGCAGGAGCAGGAGCAGAGCAGGAGCAGGAGCAGGAGCAGGAGCAGAGCAGGAGCAGGAGCAGGAGCAGAGCAGGAGCAGAGCAGGAGCAGAGCAGGAGCGGAGCATAGGATGGAGGCGGGATTGGAGAGGGATGGAGCTGGGATGCAGCCAGGATGGAACCAGAATCTAGCGGGATGAAGACAGTATAGGAGCAGGGAGCAGGAGCAGAGCAGGAACAGGAGCAGGAGCAGAGCAAGAGGCAGAGCAGGAGCAGAGCAGGAGCGGAGCAGGAGCAGAGCAGGAGCAGGAGCAGAGCAGGACAGGAGCAGGAGCAGAGCAGGAGAGAGCCGGATGGGAAGAAAGGAGCAGAGCAGGAGCAGGAGCAGGAGCGGAGCAGGAGCAGCAGAGCAGGAGCAGAGCAGGAGCAGGAGCAGGAGCAGGAGCAGGAGCAGAGCAGGAGCAGGAGCAGAGCAGGAGCACGAGCAGGAGCAGAGCAGGAGCGGAGCAGGAGCAGGAGCAGGAGCGGAGCAGGAGCAGAGCAGGAGCAGGAGCAGAGCAGGAGCAGAGCAGGAGCAGGAGCAGAGCAGGAGCAGGAGCAGAGCAGGAGCAGGAGCAGGAGCGGAGCAGGAGCAGGAGCAGGAGCAGGAGCGGAGCAGGAGCAGGAGCAGGAGCAGGAGCAGGAGCAGGAGCAGAGCAGGAGCAGGAGCAGGAGCAGAGCAGGAGCAGAGCAGGAGCAGGAGCAGAGCAGGAGCAGAGCAGGAGCAGGAGCAGGAGCAGGAGCAGAGCAGGAGCAGAGCAGGAGCAGGAGCAGAGCAGGAGCAGAGCAGGAGCAGGAGCAGGAGCAGGAGCAGAGCAGGAGCAGGAGCAGGAGCAGGAGCAGGAGCAGGAGCAGGAGCAGAGCAGGAGCAGGAGCAGGAGCAGGAGCAGGAGCAGGAGCAGAGCAGGAGCAGGAGCAGGGGCAGGGGCAGGAGCAGGAGCAGGAGCAGAAGCAGGAGCAGAGCAGGAGCAGGAGCAGAGCAGGAGCAGAGCAGGAGCAGGAGCAGAGCAGGAGCAGGAGCAGAGCAGGAGCAGGAGCAGGAGCAGAGCAGGAGCAGAGCAGGAGCAGGAGCAGGAGCAGAGCAGGAGCAGGAGCAGGAGCAGAGCAGGAGCAGGAGCAGGAGCAGAGCAGGAGCAGGAGCAGGAGCAGGAGCAGGAGCAGAGCAGGAGCAGGAGCAGGAGCAGGAGCAGAGCAGGAGCAGGAGCAGAGCAGGAGCAGAGCAGGAGCAGGAGCAGGAGCAGGAGCAGGAGCAGAGCAGGAGCAGGAGCAGGAGCAGGAGCAGGAGCAGGAGCAGGAGCAGGAGCAGGAGCAGGAGCAGGAGCAGGAGCAGAGCAGGAGCAGGAGCAGGAGCAGGAGCAGAGCAGAAGCAGGAGCGGAGCAGGAGCAGGAGCAGAGCAGGAGCAGGAGCAGAAGCAGGAGCGGAGCAGGAGCAGGAGCAGAGCAGGAGCAGGAGCAGGAGCAGGAGCAGAGCAGGAGCAGGAGCAGGAGCAGAGCAGGAGCAGAGCAGGAGCAGAGCAGGAGCGGAGCAGGAGCAGAGCAGGAGCAGGAGCAGGAGCAGAGCAGGAGCAGAAGCAGGAGCGGAGCAGGAGCAGGAGCAGGAGCAGAGCAGGAGCGGAGCAGGAGCAGGAGCAGGAGCAGAGCAGGAGCAGAAGCAGGAGCGGAGCAGGAGCAGGAGCAGAGCAGGAGCAGGAGCAGGAGCAGAGCAGGAGCAGGAGCAGGAGCAGGAGCAGAGCAAGAGCAGAGCAGGAGCAGAGCAGGAGCGGAGCAGGAGCAGAGCAGGAGCAGGAGCAGAGCAGGAGCAGGAGCAGGAGCAGAGCAGGAGCAGAGCAGGAGCAGAAGCAGGAGCGGAGCAGGAGCAGGAGCAGAGCAGGAGCAGAGCAGGAGCAGAGCAGGAGCGGAGCAGGAGCAGAGCAGGAGCAGGAGCAGAGCAGGAGCAGGAGCAGGAGCAGAGCAGGAGCACGAGCAGGAGCAGAGCAGGAGCGGAGCAGGAGCAGGAGCAGGAGCGGAGCAGGAGCAGAGCAGGAGCAGGAGCAGAGCAGGAGCGGAGCAGGAGCAGGAGCAGGAGCAGGAGCAGGAGCAGAGCAGGAGCAGGAGCAGAGCAGGAGCAGGAGCAGGAGCAGGAGCAGGAGCAGGAGCAGGAGCAGGAGCAGGAGCAGGAGCAGGAGCAGGAGCAGGAGCAGGAGCAGGAGCAGGAGCAGGAGCAGGAGCAGGAGCAGGAGCAGGAGCAGGAGCAGGAGCAGGAGCAGGAGCAGGAGCAGGAGCAGGAGCAGGAGCAGGAGCAGGAGCAGGAGCAGGAGCAGGAGCAGGAGCAGGAGCAGGAGCAGGAGCAGGAGCAGGAGCAGGAGCAGGAGCAGAGCAGGAGCAGGAGCAGGAGCAGAGCAGGAGCAGGAGCAGGAGCAGGAGCAGGAGCAGAGCAGGAGCAGGAGCAGGAGCAGGAGCAGGAGCAGGAGCAGGAGCAGGAGCAGGAGCAGGAGCAGGAGCAGGAGCAGGAGCAGGAGCAGGAGCAGGAGCAGGAGCAGAGCAGGAGCAGGAGCAGGAGCAGGAGCAGGAGCAGGAGCAGGAGCAGGAGCAGGAGCAGGAGCAGGAGCAGGAGCAGGAGCAGAGCAGGAGCAGGAGCAGGAGCAGAGCAGGAGCAGGAGCAGGAGCAGAGCAGGAGCGGAGCAGGAGCAGGAGCAGAGCAGGAGCAGGAGCAGGAGCAGAGCAGGAGCAGAGCAGGAGCAGAGCAGGAGCGGAGCAGGAGCGGAGCAGGAGCAGGAGCAGAGCAGGAGCAGGAGCAGGAGCAGGAGCAGGAGCAGGAGCAGGAGCAGGAGCAGGAGCAGAGCAGGAGCAGAGCAGGAGCAGGAGCAGGAGCAGAGCAGGAGCAGGAGCAGGAGCAGAGCAGGAGCAGAGCAGGAGCAAGAGCAGAGCAGGAGCAGGGGCAGGAGCAGGAGCAGAGCAGGAGCAGGAGCAGGAGCAGAGCAGAGCAGGAGCAGAGCAGGAGCAGGAGCAGGAGCAGGAGCAGGAGCAGAGCAGGAGCAGGAGCAGGAGCAGGAGCAGAGCAGGAGCAGGAGCAGGAGCAGGAGCAGGAGCAGGAGCAGAGGCAGGAACAGGAGCAGGAGCAGGAGCAGGAGCAGAGGCAGGAACAGGAGCAGGAGCAGAGCAGGAGCAGGAGCAGGAGCAGGAGCAGAGCAGGAGCAGAAGCAGGAGCGGAGCAGGAGCAGAGCAGGAGCAGGAGCAGGAGCAGGAGCAGAGCAGGAGCAGAAGCAGGAGCGGAGCAGGAGCAGGAGCAGGAGCAGAGCAGGAGCAGGAGCAGGAGCAGAGCAGGAGCAGAGCAGGAGCAGAAGCAGGAGCGGAGCAGGAGCAGGAGCAGAGCAGGAGCAGGAGCAGGAGCAGGAGCAGAGCAGGAGCAGGAGCAGAGCAGGAGCAGGAGCAGAGCAGGAGCAGAGCAGGAGCAGAAGCAGGAGCGGAGCAGGAGCAGGAGCAGAGCAGGAGCAGGAGCAGGAGCAGAGCAGGAGCAGAGCAGGAGCAGAGCAGGAGCGGAGCAGGAGCAGAGCAGGAGCAGGAGCAGGAGCAGGAGCAGAGCAGGAGCAGAGCAGGAGCAGAGCAGGAGCAGGAGCAGAGCAGGAGCAGGAGCAGGAGCAGAGCAGGAGCAGGAGCAGAGCAGGAGCAGGAGCAGGAGCAGGAGCAGAGCAGGAGCAGGAGCAGAGCAGGAGCAGGAGCAGGAGCAGAGCAGGAGCAGGAGCAGGAGCAGAGCAGGAGCAGGAGCAGGAGCGGAGCAGGAGCAGAGCAGGAGCAGGAGCAGAGCAGGAGCAGAGCAGGAGCAGGAGCAGAGCAGGAGCAGGAGCAGGAGCAGAGCAGGAGCAGGAGCAGGAGCAGAGCAGGAGCAGGAGCAGGAGCAGGAGCAGGAGCAGGAGCAGAGCAGGAGCAGGAGCAGGAGCAGGAGCAGGAGCAGAGGCAGGAACAGGAGCAGGAGCAGGAGCAGAGCAGGAGCAGAGCAGGAGCAGAGCAGGAGCAGGAGCAGAGCAGGAGCAGAGCAGGAGCAGAGCAGGAGCAGGAGCAGGAGCAGAGCAGGAGCAGGAGCAGAGCAGGAGCAGGAGCAGAGCAGGAGCAGGAGCAGGAGCAGAGCAGGAGCAGAGCAGGAGCAGGAGCAGGAGCAGAGCAGGAGCAGGAGCAGAGCAGGAGCAGAGCAGGAGCAGGAGCAGGAGCAGAGCAGGAGCAGGAGCAGGAGCGGAGCAGGAGCAGGAGCAGGAGCAGGAGCAGAGCAGGAGCAGGAGCAGGAGCAGAGCAGGAGCAGGAGCAGGAGCAGAGCAGGAGCAGAGCAGGAGGGGAGCAGGAGCAGAGCAGGAGCAGGAGCAGAGCAGGAGCAGGAGCAGGAGCAGAGCAGGAGCAGAGCAGGAGCAGAAGCAGGAGCGGAGCAGGAGCAGGAGCAGAGCAGGAGCAGGAGCAGGAGCAGAGCAGGAGCAGAGCAGGAGCAGAGCAGGAGCGGAGCAGGAGCAGAGCAGGAGCAGGAGCAGAGCAGGAGCAGGAGCAGGAGCAGAGCAGGAGCAGAGCAGGAGCAGGAGCAGGAGCGGAGCAGGAGCAGAGCAGGAGCAGGAGCAGAGCAGGAGCAGAGCAGGAGCAGGAGCAGAGCAGGAGCAGGAGCAGGAGCAGAGCAGGAGCAGGAGCAGGAGCAGAGCAGGAGCAGGAGCAGGAGCAGGAGCAGGAGCAGGAGCAGAGGCAGGAACAGGAGCAGGAGCAGGAGCAGAGCAGGAGCAGAGCAGGAGCAGGAGCAGAGCAGGAGCAGGAGCAGGGCAGGAGCAGAGCAGGAGCAGGAGCAGGAGCAGAGCAGGAGCAGAGCAGGAGCAGGAGCAGGAGCAGAGCAGGAGCAGGAGCAGAGCAGGAGCAGAGCAGGAGCAGGAGCAGGAGCAGAGCAGGAGCAGGAGCAGGAGCGGAGCAGGAGCAGGAGCAGGAGCAGGAGCAGAGCAGGAGCAGAGCAGGAGCAGGAGCAGGAGCAGAGCAGGAGCAGGAGCAGGAGCGGAGCAGGAGCAGGAGCAGGAGCAGGAGCAGAGCAGGAGCAGGAGCAGGAGCGGAGCAGGAGCAGAGCAGGAGCAGGAGCAGAGCAGGAGCAGAGCAGGAGCAGAGCAGGAGCAGGAGCAGGAGCGGAGCAGGAGCAGAGCAGGAGCAGGAGCAGAGCAGGAGCAGGAGCAGGAGCAGGAGCAGAGCAGGAGCAGGAGCAGGAGCAGGGGCAGAGCAGGAGCAGGAGCAGGAGCAGGAGCAGGGGCAGAGCAGGAGCAGAGCAGGAGCAGAGCAGGAGCAGGAGCAGGAGCAGAGCAGGAGCAGAGCAGGAGCAGGAGCAGGAGCAGGAGCAGGGGCAGAGCAGGAGCAGAGCAGGAGCAGAGCAGGAGCAGGAGCAGGAGCAGAGCAGGAGCAGAGCAGGAGCAGGAGCAGGAGCAGGAGCAGAGCAGGAGCAGGAGCAGAGCAGGAGCAGGAGCAGGAGCAGGAGCAGAGCAGGAGCAGAGCAGGAGCAGGAGCAGAGCAGGAGCAGGAGCAGGAGCAGAGCAGGAGCAGGAGCAGGAGCAGGAGCAGAGCAGGAGCAGGAGCAGAGCAGAGCAGGAGCAGGAGCAGAGCAGGAGCAGGAGCAGGAGCAGGAGCAGGAGCAGGAGCAGAGGCAGGAACAGGAGCAGGAGCAGGAGCAGGAGCAGGAGCAGGAGCAGAGCAGGAGCAGGAGCAGGAGCAGAGCAGGAGCAGAGCAGGAGCAGAGCAGGAGCAGGAGCAGAGCAGGAGCAGGAGCAGGAGCAGAGCAGGAGCAGGAGCAGGAGCAGGAGCAGAGCAGGAGCAGAGCAGGAGCAGAGCAGGAGCAGGAGCAGAGCAGGAGCAGGAGCAGGAGCAGAGCAGGAGCAGGAGCAGGAGCAGGAGCAGAGCAGGAGCAGGAGCAGGAGCAGAGCAGGAGCAGGAGCAGAGCAGGAGCAGGAGCAGGAGCAGAGCAGGAGCAGGAGCAGGAGCAGGAGCAGAGCAGGAGCAGAGCAGGAGCAGGAGCAGGAGCAGGAGCAGAGCAGGAGCAGGAGCAGGAGCAGGAGCAGGAGCAGGAGCAGGAGCAGGAGCAGAGCAGGAGCAGGAGCAGGAGCAGAGCAGGAGCAGGAGCAGAGCAGGAGCAGGAGCAGAGCAGGAGCAGGAGCAGGAGCAGGAGCAGAGCAGGAGCAGAGCAGGAGCAGGAGCAGGAGCAGGAGCAGGAGCAGAGCAGGAGCAGAGCAGGAGCAGGAGCAGGAGCAGGAGCAGGAGCAGAGCAGGAGCAGGAGCAGGAGCAGAGCAGGAGCAGGAGCAGAGCAGGAGCAGGAGCAGAGCAGGAGCAGGAGCAGGAGCAGGAGCAGAGCAGGAGCAGGAGCAGAGCAGGAGCAGAGCAGGAGCAGGAGCAGGAGCAGGAGCAGGAGCAGAGCAGGAGCAGGAGCAGAGCAGGAGCAGGAGCAGGAGCAGGAGCAGGAGCAGAGCAGGAGCAGGAGCAGAGCAGGAGCAGAGCAGGAGCAGGAGCAGAGCAGGAGCAGAGCAGGAGCAGGAGCAGGAGCAGAGCAGGAGCAGAGCAGGAGCAGGGCTCCCGGTGCAGGTGGAGCTGATCGTGGGCCCCTCGGAGGAGGTGATCCCGCAGCTGCGGGCCCGGCACGGCCTGGACGCCGCCGACTTCATCCTCATGGAGCACGGGAAGCGCTGCTACGAGCGGGACCTGCGGCTGCTGGAGCGGCACCGGCTGCTGGCGGCGGGCGCCACGGTCCTGGCCGATCACGTCCTGTTCCCGGGAGCGCCGCGCTTCCTGCGCTACGCCAGGGGCTGCGGGCGGTTCCGCTGCCGCCTGCACCGAGCCAGCCTCGAGTACTTCCACGGCATCCCCGACGGCATCGCCGAGCTGCGCTACACCGGCAGGCCCGCAGGTGGGCACCGGCCGGGAACGGGGAGCGAACGTGGGGGGAATGGGGTAAGAACAGGGGGGAACGGGGTGGGAACATGGGGGGAATGGGGTGGGAACATGGGGGGAATGGGGTAAGAACAGGGGGGAATGGGGTGGGAACATGGGGGGAGTGGGGTGGGAACGTGGGGGGAGTGGGGTGGGAACGTGGGGGGAGTGGGGTGGGAACGTGGGGGGAATGGGGTGGGAACATGGGGGGAATGGGGTGGGAACGTGTGGGGAATGGGGTGGGAACATGGGGGGAATGGGGTGGGAACGTGTGGGGAATGGGGTGGGAACATGGGGGGAATGGGGTGGGAACGTGGGGGGAGTGGGGTGGGAACATGGGGGGAGTGGGGTAAGAACAGGGGGGAATGGGGTGGGAACATGGGGGGAATGGGGTGGGAACATGGGGGGAGTGGGGTGGGAACATGGGGGGAATGGGGTGGGAACATGGGGGGAATGGGATGGGAATGGGGTAGGAACATGGGGGGAATGGGGTGGGAATGGGGTAGGAACATGGGGGGAATGGGGTGGGAATGGGGTAGGAACATGGGGGGAATGGGGGGGAATGGGGTAAGAACATTGGGGGAATGGGGTGGAAAGGAGCTGGGAACATGGTGGGAATGTGCTGGGAATGGGGTGGAAACGTGGTGGGAACATGATAGGAAAGCACTGGGAATGTGGTGGGAACACACTACGAATAGGGTGGAAACGGAGTGGGAACACGGTGGATATACAGAGGAAATGTGGTGAGAACATGATGGGAAGGGACTGGAACTGTGGTGGGAACGCACTAGGAACATGGTGGAACGTACTGGGAACGTGGTGGGAACATGATGGAATGCACTGGGAATGTGATGGGAACATGATGGGAACGTACTAGGAACATGGTGGAATGTACTGGGAACGTGGTGGGAACATGATGGAATGCACTGGGAATGTGGTAGGAACATGGTGGGAACGTACTAGGAACATGGTGGAATGTACTGGGAACGTGGTGGGAACATGATGGAATGCACTGGGAATGTGATGGGAACATGATGGGAACGTACTAGGAACATGGTGGAATGTACTGGGAACGTGGTGGGAACATGATGGAATGCACTGGGAATGTGGTAGGAACATGGTGGGAACGTACTAGGAACATGGTGGAATGTACTGGGAACATGGTGGGAACATGATGGAATGCACTGGGAATGTGATGGGAACATGATGGGAACGTACTAGGAACATGGTGGAATGCACTGGGAACGTGGTAGGAACATGGTGGAATGCACTGGGAATGTGGTGGAATGGGGTAGGGATGGAATGGGAACACTGAGGAAACGTGGTGGGAATATGATGGGAAGGGACTGGGACTGCAGTGGGAACACTAGGAACATGGTGGAACGCACTGGGAATGTGGTAGGAACATGATGGGAATGCACTGGGAATGTGGTAGGAACATGGTGAGGACATGGACATGGTGGGAACATACTGGGATGTGGTGGGCACATGGTGGGAACATACTGGGACGTAGTGGGCACAGGATGGGAATGCACTGGGAATGTGGCAGGAACATGGTGAGGACATGGACATGGTGGGAACATACTGGGATGTGGTGGGCACAGGATGGGAACGCACTGGGAATGTGGTGGGCACATGGTGGGAACATACTGGGACGTGGTGGGCACAGGATGGGAACGCACTGGGAATGTGCTGGCTGCTGGAACCACAGCTGGGGGGTGGTTACTTAAAAATAGAGTTTATTGGGGAATGGGAATGGCAACGCTCCAGCCTGGCTTTGGGTCTCTCTGTGCCCCACAGAGCCCCCCCAGTGCTATGAGGGGCACAGGGACCCCCCCAGTGCTGCTCCGCTTGGGAACGGCCTCGGCACTCTCAGATCATCCACTGGTCCTGGTCCTGCTCCGCACCCTCCATGTCCACCTGGGAAGCAGGAACAGGAAGGAGCGGGGGACGCACAGCCTGGGGGTCCCAGCCCCACATAATCGGGGCTCTCAGCCCCACTCTCTGGGGCCTCAGCCCCACATCCTCACCTCGTTGATCTCCCCATCGTCTGGGGACTCGTTGTAGTCGTTCATCTCATCCATGTCCTGCATGTCCTCGTCGTCCTCCGAGTCCTCCTCGCTGTCCTCGTCGTCCTCATCGTCCTCCTCCTCCTCCTCGTCGTAGTGCTGCGGGGGCAGAGCCCGTCCCAGTCCCGCCCCCCGCACGCCCCATTCCCAGCCCCAGGGCCCCATTCCCGCTGCCCCCAGCGCCGGGCCCACCTCGGATGCCGGTTTCCCGATGGGTACCAAGGTGTTGTCCTTCTCGGCGATGCTCTGCAGCTGGGCGGGATGAGAGGGGGGTGAGCACCAGGGGGGGTTCCATGGGGTGGGGGGCACCGGGGACCCCATAAGAGTCCCTTGAGTGCCCCCCCCGAGTCTCCAAGTCCCCCAATGTGTTCCCCAATGCCCCCCAAGTGTCCCTTGAGCCCCCCCAGGGTCCCTTAGGGGCCCCCCAAGTCTCCCCCTGGGGCTCCCCCAGTCTCCCTTAGGGGACCCCGAAGCCCCCCCACTGGGGCCCAGCCTCCCCCCCCGTTTAATCCCTAATGAACGCCGTAATTAACGACCTAATTAACACTGTAATTAACGCTGTAATTAACGCCCTAATTAACGCCGTAATTAACGCTCAAGCCCCCCCTTGGCAGCCTCGGAGCCTCCCTCAGGCCCTCGCCGCCCACCCAGGCCTGGTGCTGCTGCTCCTGCTGCTGCAGCTCGGTCTCGTCCACGCAGGGCCGGTCCAGGTTGAACCACAGCGACTCGGTGACGCGGGGCAGCAGCGACGGGAACAGCGTGGACATGGCCGGGGGGGGGGAACGGGAACGGGAACGGGAACCGGAGCACCGGGACCGGCCGCGGCCCGCCCGGAAGTGCGGCTCAGGCACGGCGCATGCGCGGAGGGGAGGGGCGGGTCTGGCGAGACCACGCCCACAAGGGGCGGAGCGGAGGGGCGCCCCCTCCCGGCTGGGAATGGGAGTGCCCGGGACATCAATGGGGTACCGGTGACACCTGTGGGGTGCCTGTGACATCAATGGGGCACCTGTGACACCTATGGGGTACCGGTGACACCTGTGGGGTGCCTGTGACATCAATGGGGTGCCTGTGACTCCAATGGGGCGCCTGTGACATCAATGGGGCACCTGTGACACCTATGGGGTACCGGTGACACCTGTGGGGTGCCTGTGACATCAATGGGGTGCCTGTGACCCCAATGGGGTGCCTGTGACTCCAATGGGGCGCCTGTGACATCAATGGGGCACCTGTGACACCTATGGGGTACTGGTGACACCTGTGGGGTGCCTGTGACTCCAATGGGGCGCCTGTGACATCAATGGGGCGCCTGTGACACCTATGGGGTACCGGTGACACCTGTGGGGTGCCTGTGACCCCAATGGGGTGCCTGTGATTCCAATGGGGCGCCTGTGACATCGATGGGGCACCTGTGACACCTATGGGGTACCGGTGACACCTGTGGGGTGCCTGTGACATCAATGGGGTGCCTGTGACACCTATGAGGCGCCTGTGACATCAATGGGGCGCCTGTGACACCAATGGGGTGCCGGACACCTATGGGGTACCTGTGACACCAATGGGGTGCCTGTGACACCTACGGGGTACCTGTGACCCCACTGGGACATCCGTGTCTCCAATGGGGTGTCTGTGACCCATGGAGGGGCATTTGCTACCCCAGCAGGGTGGTACCTGCCCCCCCCTCCCCCGAGCATCTTTAACCTCCCCAATGGTTTCTGCCCCCCCCCCCCCCCCGGCTCCCCTGTGCCCCCTTGGGGACACCTCCCCCCCCCCCCGGGGCATCTCCAACCCCTGGGGGTCCCCTTTCCCCCCCAGCACCCATGGGGGGACCCCACAGCCCGGTGGGGGGGGGGGGTCCGATCCTGCCGCTTAGGATGTGATCAGGTCCTGAGGCCACCCCCAACCCCCCCCGCCATGGGGCCCATCCCGAACCCCCCCCTTGCCCCCCCCCATCTCCCCTATGGAGAAGGGAAGGAAAAAACATTCCCGGGTGGATTTTGGCCGCTGCCGGGTCCCACCCGGCGCCGGGAAGACGGCGCAAGGACACGGCAGCACCCGCCCCACACCGTGCCCCACACCGTGCCCCGCACCGTGCCCCGCACCGTGCCCCACACCGTGCCCCACACCGTGCCCCGCACCGTGCCCCACAGCGTGCCCCGCACCGTGCCCCGCACCGTGCCCCACAGCGTGCCCCACAGCGTGCCCCACACGCCGCTGACGTCCCGCGATCGTTGGGCAAGGGTTGCTCCGCACCGCGACCTTTGAGATCGCTGCCCCGCGGCACCGGCACCGGCACCCCCGAGGTACGAGCCCGATCCCCCGCTCCCGACCCCATCCCCGCGGCCCCGCTCCCGGCGGGCCCATGGCGGCTCCGGGGGTGCTGCTGCCGCTGCTGCTGCTGCTGCTCGTGGCTTGGCCGGGGGCCGCCGTGCGGGACTCGCTGCTCAACACCTGCATGGATGCCAAGCACCACAAGGCAGAGCCGGGCCCCGAGGGGCAGCTCTACGGGCAGGTGGGTTCCTGGCTACCGGCCCCGGTGCCCGCTCGTGCGGCCGCGGTGCTGCCCCATCGGCACCCGCGGTGCCGAGCCCCGGTGCGGCGGTGCCGAGCCCCCGGTGCGGCGGTGCCGAGCCCCCGGTGCGGCGGTGCCGAGCCCCGGTGCGGCGGTGCCGAGCCCCCGGTGCGGCGGTGCCGAGCCCCCGGTGCGGCGGTGCCGAGCCCCCGGTGCGGTGGTGCTGAGCCCCGGTGTGCGGTGCAGTGCTCGCTCTGGAAGGACAACGCCTGCTGCACGGCCAACACCAGCCTGGAGGCCCACCGGGACCAGTCCTACCTGTACGGCTTCAACTGGGACCACTGCGGGGTGATGCCCCCCCGCTGCAAGCGCCACTTCATCCAGGACACGTGCTTGTACGAGTGCTCCCCCAACCTGGGGCCGTGGATTGACCAGGTGGGGGCAGGAATCCACCCCCCCCCACACACACAGCGCGCATGGGGGGTGCCCCATAGCTGGGGTGAACGGGGGTGAATGGGGGTGAACGGGGGTGAATGGGGGTGAACAGGGGTGGATTGGGGTGAACTGGCATGAACAGCGGTGAATGGGGTTGAATTGGGATGAACAGGGGTGAACTGGGGTGAATGGGGGTGAACAGCGGTGAATGGGGTTGAATTGGGATGAACAGGGGTGAACTGGGGTGAATGGGGTTGAATTGGGATGAACAGGGGTGAACTGGGGTGAATGGGGGTGAACAGCGGTGAATGGGGTTGAATTGGGATGAACAGGGGTGAACTGGGGTGAATGGGGGTGAACAGGGGTGAACAGCGGTGAATGGGGTTGAATTGAGATGAACAGGGGTGAACTGGGGTGAATGGGGGTGAACAGGGGTGAACAGCGGTGAATGGGGTTGAATTGAGATGAACAGGGGTGAACTGGGGTGAATGGGGGTGAACAGCGGTGAATGGGGTTGAATTGGGATGAACAGGGGTGAACTGGGGTGAATGGGGGTGAACAGCGGTGAATGGGGTTGAATTGGGATGAACAGGGGTGAATGGGGGTGAACAAGGGTGAATGGGGTGGATTGGGGTGAACTGGCATGAACAGCGGTGAATGGGGTTGAATTGAGATGAACAGGGGTGAACTGGGGTGAATGGGGGTGAACAGGGGTGAACAGCAGTGAATGGGGTTGAATTGGGATGAACAGGGGTGAATGGGGGTGAACAGGGGTGAATGAGGGTGAACGGGATGGATTGGGGTGAACTGGCATGAACAGCGGTGAATGGGGTTGAATTGGGATGAACAGGGGTGAACTGGGGTGAATGGGGGTGAACAGCAGTGAATGGGGTTGAATTGGGATGAACAGGGGTGAATGGGGGTGAACAGGGGTGAATGAGGGTGAACGGGGTGGATTGGGGTGAACTGGTGTGAACAGCGGAGAATGGGGTTGAATTGGGATGAACAGGGGTGAACTGGGATGAGCAGGGGTGAATTGGGGTGAACAGGGGTGAACTGGGATGAACAGGGGTGAATTGGGGTGAAGGATGAACAGGGGTGAACTGGGGTGAATGGGGGTGAACTGAGGTGGATTGGGGTGAACTGGTGTGAACAGCGGTGAATGGGGTTGAATTGGGATGAACAGGGGTGAATGGGGGTGAACAAGGGTGAATGGGGTGGATTGGGGTGAACTGGCATGAACAGCGGTGAATGGGGTTGAATTGAGATGAACAGGGGTGAACTGGGATGAGCAGGGGTGAATTGGGGTGAACAGGGGTGAACTGGGATGAACAGGGGTGAATTGGGGTGAAGGATGAACAGGGGTGAACTGGGGTGAATGGGGGTGAACTGGGGTGGATTGGGGTGAACTGGTGTGAACAGCGGTGAATGGGGTTGAATTGGGATGAACTGGGGTGAATGGGGGTGAACAGGGGTGGATTGGGGTGAACTGGCATGAACAGCAGTGAATGGGGTTGAATTGGGATGAACAGGGGTGAACTGGGATGAGCAGGGGTGAATTGGGGTGAACAGGGGTGAACTGGGATGAACAGGGGTGAATTGGGGTGAAGGATGAACAGGGGTGAACTGGGGTGAATGGGGGTGAACTGGGGTGGATTGGGGTGAACTGGTGTGAACAGCGGTGAATGGGGTTGAATTGGGATGAACTGGGGTGAATGGGGGTGAACAGGGGTGGAGTGGGGTGAACTGGCATGAACAGCGGTGAATGCGGTTGAATTGGGATGAACAGGGGTGAACTGGGATGAGCAGGGGTGAATTGGGGTGAACAGGGGTGAACTGGGATGAACAGGGGTGAATTGGGGTGAAGGATGAACAGGGGTGAACTGGAGTGAATGGGGTGAACAGGGGTGAATTGGGTTGAACTGGGGTGAAAGGGGGTGAATTGGGGTGAAGTGGAATGAACAGGGGTGAATGGGGTTGAATTGGGTTGAACTGGGGTGAAGGAGGGTGAATTGGGGTGAAGTGGGATGAACAGGGGTGCACTGGGGTGAACGGAGTTGAATTGGGATGAACTGGGGTGAAAGGGGGGTGAATTGGGGTTAACTGGGTTGAACTGGGATGAACAGGGGTTAATTGGGGTGAACTGGGATGAAAAGGGGTGAATGGGATTGAGTTGGGATGAACTGGGGTGAACAGGAGTGATAAACTGGGGTGAACTGGGATGAACAGAGGTGAACTGGAGTGAATGGGGTGAACAGGGGTTAATTGGGGTGAATTGGGACGAACGGGGTGAACTGGGGTGAATGGGGGTTAACTGGGTTGAACTGGGATGAAGGGGGGGTTGAATTGGGATGAACAGGGGTGAATTGGGGTTAACTGGGTTGAATTGAGATGAACAGGGGTGAATTGGGATTAACAGATGTTAATTGGGGTGAATGGGGTAGACTTGGGATGAACTGGGATGAAAAGGGGTGAATTGGGGTGAATGGGATTGAATTGGGATGAACTGGGGTGAACAGGAGCGAACTGGGGTGAATGGGGATGAACGGGGTGACCGGGGTGGATGGGGGTGACCGGGGATGGATGGGGGGTGACAGGGGATGGATGGGGGGTGACCGGGGTGGATGGGGGTGACAGGGGATGGATGGGGGGTGACAGGGGATGGATGGGGGGTGACCGGGGTGGATGGGGGTGACAGGGGATGGATGGGGGGTGACAGGGGATGGATGGGGGTGACCAGGGATGGATGGGGATGACCGGGGATGGATGGGGGGTGACAGGGGATGGATGGGGGGTGACCGGGGTGGATGGGGGTGACAGGGGATGGATGGGGGGTGACCGGGGTGGATGGGGGTGACTGGGGATGGATGGGGGTGACAGGGGATGGATGGGGGGTGACTGGGGATGGATGGGGGTGACCGGGGATGGATGGGGGGTGACAGGGGATGGATGGGGGTGACAGGGGATGGATGGGGGGTGACCGGGGATGGATGGGGGTGACAGGGGATGGATGGGGGTGACCAGGGATGGATGGGGATGACCGGGGATGGATGGGGATGACCGGGGATGGATGGGGGTGACAGGGGATGGATGGGGGGTGACCGGGGATGGATGGGGGTGACCGGGGATGGATGGGGATGACCGGGGATGGATGGGGGTGACAGGGGATGGATGGGGATGACAGGGGATGGATGGGGGGTGACAGGGGATGGATGGGGATGGATGGGGGTGACAGGGGATGGATGGGGGGTGACAGGGGATGGATGGGGGTGACAGGGGATGGATGGGGATGGATGGGGGTGACCAGGGATGGATGGGGGTGACCGGGGATGGATGGGGGTGACAGGGGATGGATGGGGATGACCGGGGATGGATGGGGGTGACAGGGGATGGATGGGGGTGACTGGGGATGGATGGGGATGACCAGGGATGGATGGGGGTGACAGGGGATGGATGGGGGTGACAGGGGATGGATGGGGATGGATGGGGGTGACAGGGGATGGATGGGGGGTGACAGGGGATGGATGGGGGTGACAGGGGATGGATGGGGATGGATGGGGGTGACCAGGGATGGATGGGGGTGACCGGGGATGGATGGGGGTGACAGGGGATGGATGGGGATGACCGGGGATGGATGGGGGTGACAGGGGATGGATGGGGGTGACTGGGGATGGATGGGGATGACCGGGGATGGATGGGGGTGACAGGGGATGGATGGGGGGTGACAGGGGATGGATGGGGATGACCGGGGATGGATGGGGGGTGACAGGGGATGGATGGGGGGTGACAGGGGATGGATGGGGGTGACCGGGGATGGATGGGGGGTGACAGGGGATGGATGGGGGGTGACAGGGGATGGATGGGGGTGACAGGGGATGGATGGGGGTGACAGGGGATGGATGGGGATGACAGGGGATGGATGGGGGTGACCAGGGATGGATGGGGATGACCGGGGCTGCCCGCGGTGAGCTGGGGGTGGCCGTGGGGCCGGGGGTGCCGCAGGCGGACACGAGCTGGCGTCGGGAGCGGATCCTGCACGTGCCCCTGTGCCGGGAGGACTGCGAGCAGTGGTGGGAGGACTGCAGGGACGCCTTCACCTGCAAGGAGAACTGGCACAAGGGCTGGAACTGGACCTCAGGTCAGTGGGGGGGCACTGGGACCCCCCCATGGGTCACCACCTCCCCTTGCCACAGCCTGCGGCCTGCTTGGAGGGGGTCTTGGGGGGGTCTGCATGGGGTGGGGGTCTCCACGGTCAACCCTATGGGAGAGGGGGTCTTTGGGGGGTCCCCACGGGTGGGGGGTCTCTATGGGTTGAAGGTCTTCATGGTCAACTCTACATCTTGCTGCAGGTGAGGCGGCTGTGAGGGGATCTTGGAGGCGTTCCCCATGGGTTGGGGGTCCCCATGGGTTCGGGGTCTCCATGGGTTGGGGGTCCCCATGGGCAATCCTGTGGCTGTGAAAGGGTCTTGGGGCTTAAGGGTCCCCATAAGTTCAGGGTCTCCATGGTAAATCCTGCATTTTGACACAGGTGGGGTGACTGCATCCCACCTCCATGGTGGCTTTGAGGGGGTCAGGGGGGGTTCCCATGGGTTGGAGGTCTCCATGGGTTGGGGTTCCCCATGGGTTGGATGTCTCCATGGTGAACCCTATGGCTGTGAGGGGGTCTGGGGAGGGTCCCCGTGGGTTGGAGGTCTCCATGGGTTGGGGTTCCCCATGGGTTGGGTTTCCCCATGGGTTGGAAGTCTCCATGGTCAACCCTATAGCTGTGAGGGGGTCTTAGGTGGGGTCCCCATGGGTTGAGGATCTCCATGGGTTGGGGTTCCCCATGGGTTGGGGTCCCCATGGGTTGGGTTTCCCCATGGGTTGGAAGTCTCCATGGTCAACCCTATAGCTGTGAGGGGGTCTTAGGTGGGGTCCCCATGGGTTGAGGATCTCCATGGGTTGGGGGTCTCCATGGGTTGGGGTTCCCCATGGGTTGGGTTTCCCCATGGGTTGGAAGTCTCCATGGTCAGCCCTGTGGCTCTGAGGGGGTCTTAGGTGGGGTCCCCATGGGTTGAGGATCTCCAGGGGTTGGGGTTCCCATGGGTTTGGGGTTCCCCCTGCGTTGGGGTCCCCATGGGTTGAGGATCCCCATGGGTTGAGGTTCCCATGGGTTGGGGGTCCCATGGGTTGGGGTTCCCATGGGGTGGGGGTCCCCATGGGCTGAGGATCTCCATGGGTTGGGGGTCCCCATGGGTTGGGGGTCCCCATGGCCAGCCCTATGTCTCTGAGGGCACCTTGTGGGGTTCCCATGGGCTGGGGTTCTCCGTGACCATCCCCACCACGGACACAACCCCAGCCCCCTGCACATGAACGGGGAACCCGAGCGGGTGCCAATGCCCCCCCCATTGATCCCCATTGATCCCCACTGAGCCCCATTGATCCCCATTGATCCCCACTGAGCCCCATTGATCCCCATTGATCCCCACTGATCCCCATTGATCCCCATTGATCCCCACTGAGCCCCATTGATCCCCATTGATCCCCATTGATCCCCACTGAGCCCCATTGATCCCCATTGATCCCCATTGATCCCCACTGAGCCCCATTGATCCCCATTGATCCCCACTGATCCCCATTGATCCCCATTGATCCCCACTGAGCCCCATTGATCCCCATTGATCCCCACTGATCCCCATTGATCCCCATTGATCCCCACTGATCCCCATTGATCCCCATTGATCCCCACTGAGCCCCATTGATCCCCACTGATCCCCATTGATCCCCATTGATCCCCACTGAGCCCCATTGATCCCCATTGATCCCCATTGATCCCCACTGAGCCCCATTGAGCCCCACTGAGCCCCATTGATCCCCATTGATCCCCATTGATCCCCACTGAGCCCCATTGATCCCCATTGATCCCCACTGAGCCCCATTGAGCCCCACTGAGCCCCATTGATCCCCATTGATCCCCATTGATCCCCACTGAGCCCCATTGATCCCCATTGATCCCCATTGATCCCCACTGAGCCCCATTGATCCCCATTGATCCCCATTGATCCCCACTGAGCCCCATTGATCCCCACTGAGCCCCATTGATCCCCATTGATCCCCATTGATCCCCACTGAGCCCCATTGATCCCCATTGATCCCCACTGAGCCCCATTGATCCCCACTGATCCCCATTGATCCCCACTGAGCCCCATTGATCCCCATTGATCCCCACTGATCCCCATTGATCCCCATTGATCCCCATTGATCCCCACTGAGCCCCATTGATCCCCATTGATCCCCATTGATCCCCATTGATCCCCACTGAGCCCCATTGATCCCCATTGATCCCCATTGATCCCCACTGAGCCCCATTGATCCCCATTGATCCCCACTGAGCCCCATTGATCCCCATTGATCCCCATTGATCCCCACTGAGCCCCATTGATCCCCATTGATCCCCATTGATCCCCATTGATCCCCACTGAGCCCCATTGATCCCCATTGATCCCCATTGAGCCCCACTGAGCCCCATTGATCCCCACTGAGCCCCATTGATCCCCATTGATCCCCATTGATCCCCATTGAGCCCCACTGAGCCCCACTGAGCCCCACTGAGCCCCATTGATCCCCATTGATCCCCATTGATCCCCATTGATCCCCACTGAGCCCCATTGAGCCCCGCGCCCTCCGCTGGCCCGCAGGAACGAACCGGTGCCCCCGGGGCTCGCTCTGCCGCCGCTTCCCGGCCGTGTTCCCGTCGCCGGCGGCGCTGTGCGAGCGGGTCTGGTCTCACTCCTACCGGTTCACGGCGCTCGGCCGCGCCAGCGGCCGCTGCATCCGGCTCTGGTGGGAGCCGGCCGAGCCCAACCCCAACGCCGCCGTTGCCCGGTTCTACGCCCGCGGCGCCGCCGCCCCCGGCCGCTCCGGCTCCCGGTACCCGCGGTGCTGGGGCTGCTGCTCCCCGCGGTGTGGGGCGTGCTCTGAGCGCCGCGGGCAGTGCCCCCCATGGGCACCCCAACACCGTGACCCCCCCATGGGCACCCCAAACATTGACCCCCCCCATGGGCACCCCAAACCCTGACCCCCCCATGGGCACCCCAAAACCCTGATCCCCCCCATGGGCACCCCAACACCCTGACCCCCCATGGGCACCCCAACACCCTGAACCCCCCCCATGGGCACCCCAAACCCTGACCCCCCATGGGCACCCCAACACCCTGAACCCCCCCATGGGCACCCCCAACACCGTGACCCCCCATGGGCACCCCAACACCCTGACCCCCCCCCCATGGGCACCCCAAACCCTGACCCCCCATGGGCACCCCAACACCCTGAACCCCCCCATGGGCACCCCAACACCGTGACCCCCCCCATGGGCACCCCAACACCGTGACCCCCTCCATGGGCACCCCAACACCCTGACCCCCACCCCATGGGCACCCCAAACATTGACCCCCTCCATGGGCACCCCAAACATTGACCCCCTCCATGGGCACCCCAAAACCCTGACCCCCCCCATGGGCACCCCAACACCGTGACCCCCCCATGGGCACCCCAACACCGTGACCCCCCCATGGGCACCCCAACACCCTGACCCCCCCCATGGGCACCCCAACACCGTGACCCCCCCATGGGCACCCCAAAACCCTGACCCCCCCCATGGGCACCCCAACACCCTGACCCCCCCCATGGGCACCCCAAACATTGACCCCCCCCATGGGGCACCCCAACACCCTGACCCCCCCCATGGGCATCCCAACACCCTGACCCCCCCCATGGGCACCCCAAAACCCTGACCCCCCCCCATGGGCACCCCAACACCGTGACCCCCTCCATGGGCACCCCAACACCCTGACACCCCCCATGGGCACCCCAACACCGTGACCCCCCCATGGGCACCCCAACACCGTGACCCCCCCATGGGCACCCCAACACCCTGACCCCCACCCCATGGGCACCCCAAACATTGACCCCCTCCATGGGCACCCCAAACCCTGACCCCCCCCATGGGCACCCCAACACCGTGACCCCCCCCCATGGGCACCCCAACACCGTGACCCCCCCATGGGCACCCCAACACTCTGACCCCCCCCCCCATGGGCATCCCAACACCCTGACCCCCTCCATGGGCACCCCAAACCCGGACCCCCCCCATGGGCACCCCAACACCGTGACCCCCCCATGGGCACCCCAACACCGTGACCCCCCCATGGGCACCCCAACACTCTGACCCCCCCCCATGGGCACCCCAAACCCTGACCCCCCCCCATGGGCACCCCAACACCGTGACTCCCCCATGGGGACCCCAAAACCCTGACCCCCCCCATGGGCACCCCAACACCCTGACCCCCTCCATGGGCACCCCAAAACCCTGACCCCCCCCATGGGCACCCCAAACCCTGACCCCCCCATGGGCACCCCAAAACCCTGACCCCCCCCCCATGGGCACCCCAACACCCTGACCCCCCCCCATGGGCACCCCAAACCCTGACCCCCCCCATGGGCACCCCAACACCGTGACTCCCCCATGGGCACCCCAAAACCCTGACCCCCCCCATGGGCACCCCAACACCGTGACCCCCCCCATGGGCACCCCAAAACCCTGACCCCCCCCATGGGCACCCCAACACCGTGACTCCCCCATGGGCACCCCAAAACCCTGACCCCCCCCATGGGCACCCCAACACCGTGACTCCCCCATGGGCACCCCAAAACCCTGACCCCCCCCATGGGCACCCCAACACCGTGACCCCCCCATGGGCACCCCAACACCCTGACCCCCTCCATGGGCACCCCAACACCCTGACCCCCCCCATGGGCACCCCAAACATTGACCCCCTCCATGGGCACCCCAAACCCTGACCCCCCCCATGGGCACCCCAAAACCCTGACCCCCCCCATGGGCACCCCAAAACCCTGACCCCCCCCATGGGCACCCCAACATCGTGACCCCCCCCATGGGCACCCCAAAACCCTGACCCCCCCCATGGGCACCCCAACATCGTGACCCCCTCCATGGGCACCCCAAAACCGTCTCCTCCCCCCCCATAGACACCCCTACACTGTGCCTCCCCATGGACACCCCAATCCGTGCCCCCAGCATGGGCACCCCCATAGACACCCCCATGGACATGCCCTCCCCATGGACACCCCCAAACAGTGTCCCCCCATTGACACCCCCAAACTGTGCCCCCCACATGGGCACCCCTAAACTGTGCCCTCTCCATGGACACCCCCAAACCGTGTCCTCCCTCCCATAGACACCCCTACACTGTGCCCCCCCATGGACACCCCAATCTGTGCCCCCCGCATGGGCACCCCCTATGCCCTCCCCATGGACACCCCCAAACAGTGTCTGTCCCCCCCATTGACACCCCCAAACTGTGCCCCCCGCATGGGCACCCCTAAACCGTGTCTATCCCCTCCATGGGCACCCCTAAACTGTGCCCTCCCCATGGACACCCCCAAACCGTGTCTGTCCCTCCCATAGGCACCCCCAAACCGTGCCCCCTGCATGGGTACCCCCAAACTGTGCCCCCCCATAGGCAACCCTAAACTGTGCCCCCCCATGAGCACTCACAAACCGTGTCCTCCCCGCCATGGGGCACCCCCAAACCGTGTCCTCCCCATGGGCACCCCAAACCCATGTCTGTCCCCTCCATAGGGCACTCCTGAACTGTGCCCCCCCCAAGGGCACCCCCAAACTGTGTCATTCCTACCATGGGCACCCCCAGACCGTGCCCCCCCCGGACACCCCCAAACTGTGTCCTTGCTACCATGGGAACCCCCAAACTGTGCCTGTTCCCCCCCCATAGCACAACCTCACACGGTGTCTTCTCCATGGGGCACCCCCAAACCGTGTGTTCCCCAATGGGATCAGCCCAGCAGTGTGTGTCCCTCCCCATGGGATACCCCACACTGTGTGTCCCCCCCATGGGGTACCCCCAGACCGTGTCCCCCCCATGGGGTACCGCCAGGCTGCGTGTCCTCCTCATGGGGCCCCCCCAAACCGTGCCCCCACCATGGGCAGCCCCACACAGGTCACTCCAAACCGTGTGTTCCTCCCCACGGGACACCCCAAACTGTGCGTTCCCCCCAGGGGACCCCCCAGACCGTGTGCCTTTCCCCATGGGATCCCCCTAACGTGTGTCTCCCCCATGGGACACCCCCAAACTCTGTGTGTCTCTCCCCATGGAATAAAGGAAACGCTCCTGCTCCACTTGGAACTGGGGTGCTGTGGGGCTGGGGGGGTGGGAATAGGGAGGGATACGGGGGGGGTCCTGCTCCCTTCGGGGGTGAAGCGGGTGTCACCCCATTTATCAGTGCTGGGAATGGGGGGGTCCCTCCATGGGGCGATGCAGGGGGATGGGACCCCAAAGGTGTCCGGTGCCCGCTGCAGCTCGGGGGGGGGGCCACGCATGTCCGGGGGGGGTCACCCTCGGCCCAGCCCCCCCCGCCCCGCTCCCCCTCCCTCCCTTCCCGGTCTCCCTCCCCCCGGTGCCCCCCCCCTCTCTCGGGGCTCCCCCTTGGCGCTTCCCTTTGCCCCCCCCCGGTGCTCCCCCATTTCCGGTGCTCCCCGCTGACCCCCCCGGCGCTCCTCCCCTCCCCCCCCCCCCCCGTGCTCTCCTCGGTGCCCCCCGGGTGCTGCCCCCTCCCCCCCCCGGTTCCCCTTCCCCCCGCTCCCCGCCCCTCCGCTTCCTCCCCCGGTTCCTCCCCCCCCCCCCCCCTCCGAGCTCCCCCCATTTCCCCGCCCCCCCCCCCCCGCCTGTCCCCGCCCCGGGCGCGCTCCCGCTCGGAGCATGGCGGGCGCGGGGGGCGGCGCGGGGCCCCCCCCGGGTTGGTACCACCGGGACCTGAGCCGGGCCGCGGCCGAGGAGCTGCTGGCGCGGGCGGGCCGGGACGGGAGCTTCCTGGTGCGGGACAGCGAGAGCGTCCCCGGGGCCTTCGCGCTGTGCTTGCTGTGAGCGCCCAACGGGAACGGGAACGGGGGGGAACGGGGGGGAACGGGACGGGGGGAACGGGGGGAACGGGGGGTACGCGCGGTGCCTGCTGTGAGCGCCCAACGGGAACGGGAACGGGAGCGGGACGGGGGGGAACGGGGGGTGTGCGCGGTGGCTGCTGTGAGCGCCCAACGGGAACGGGACCGGAACGGGGGGGAACGGGGGGTGTGCGCGGTGCCTGCTGTGAGCGCCCAACGGGAACGGGAACGGGACCGGAACGGGGGGAACCGGGGGTGTGCGCGGTGCCTGCTGTGAGCACCCAACGGGAACGGGAACGGGACCGGAACGGGGGGAACCGGGGGTACGCGCGGTGCCTGCTGTGAGCGCCCAACGGGAACGGGAACGGGAACGGGGGGAACCGGGGGTGTGCGCGGTGCCTGCTGTGAGCACCCGGAGCGGGGGGGATCGGGGCCGGAACGGGCGTACCGGGACCGGAACGGGGGTACCAGGACCGGGGGTGAAAGGGGGGTACCGGGGGTATGCACGGTGCCTGCTGTGAGCACCGGAACGGGAGCGGGACCGGGGGAACCAGGAATGGGGGGAGCGGGACCGGAACGGGGGTACCGGGACCGGGGGTGAAAGGGGGGTACCGGGGGCACGCGCGGTGCCTGCTGTGAGCACCCGGAGCAGGGGGGATCGGGACCGGAACGCGGGGCACCGGGGCTGCCGGGGGGGACCGGGGGCACGTGCGGTGCCTGCTGTGAGTGTGGGGAGGGGAAACGGGGGGAGCACCGGTGACTTCCTCGAGGGTTCGTGGGGGGTCTGGGAGGGGGGCGCTGGGGGGCGGGGGAGGGGGTCAGGGGGAGGCCCACGGGACATGGGGGTCACCAGAGCCGGGGGGGGGTTGGGAACTGGGGAGAGCCAAAGGGGGGGACTTGGGGGGCACCCATTTGGGGCTGGTGACCTGGCACTGACAGACTGGGGGATACTGGGGGGCCCTGCATGTGGGGACACTGGCGCTGGCAGTGCAGAGCTTGTGGGGGG